ACTCTGTATTCAAGTCCATTCGAGTCGATCAAGGGAGCGAGACCCCGGCACCTTGCCAGTCAGGTCGATCGATTCGAATTGTAAGTCAGACAACGTCGTTATCAGTCGTCTGCCAGTGCTGCCGGGCTCATAACCTCTCGGCGTAAGGCTGCCGAGAGCTCAGTGGGGAAATAGATGAAGTCTATCTAGGCATAGAAGATCAATATATTATTGCTCCCTCTGGGGAAGAAAAGGAAGAACTGACTAGGAGCCGGCGTTGAGGTCGGCTCTAAATCTGCGTGGCCGGTTTGGCGGTCACGTGGTAACTGACAGCTGATTGGTCAGACCTGGCAGCTGCCTGAATGCCGTATGGGTCAGGCACCAACAGAAAGTTTCTAGCATACAGAATCGGCACTGAAGATACTTTCTTCAAAATTAATATCATCTCCAGCTTCTGCATCTGAATTGACCTTATGTTCCACCATTTTTAGAAGATCACAAAAGTGCGCATGCTTGACGCGTTCTAACGGCTTTGTAAGTCCATTGGCAGGGTTGATCTTGCCATCAATCTATTTGAATTCAACGAGTCCTTTCTCAACAGCATCACGAATGAAAAAATATTGATTATCTACCCATTTTGTTGTAGAACAGTATCCAGCTTTGTTAACAATATTAAGAGTATTTGCACTGTTAGTAAAAATAGTGACTGGGCCTGCTTTTTCAAGTCCTAGTGCCATAGTGATCTTTTTCAGCCAAATACCTTGTGTCACGGCGCTAACGCGGATAAGAGTCACGTGACCGAGGGAATATCTTCATCGCCCAGTTCCGAGCCTGCTGTAGCTCTTTGAGCTACGTCCTGTCTATAGAGCCTGCCCGTACCAGCCTGCCAAACAGCCTGAGACTCGCAGATAGATAGCCTGTAGCTAGCCTGAGTGTCAACTACCTAATCAATCTATTTCCTGCATCCTTGCAAGCCTGCACCTTGACAGTAATTGCATTCTGTGATGTAGAAGAGGGCGCACCATTATGGCCTATCCAGTCTCAGAAGCGTCCTACCACTAATGCTGTTACATCCACCCATGCAAAAAGGCAAGAGTGCTCCCAGGAGGATGCAGATATGGTCACTCCACCAGGCTATCACATTGGTTCAGATAAGCTCACTAGGCCAACGACCAATGATCTGCTTCCTCTGTGTTGGGAACCCTGGACTGCTGATGGAGAAGCGAACCAGGAAATACAGTACGCCGGGGTCCCTAAGCAGACATGTTCGGCAAACACATGTGAGGCCTTGTTGGCCAGAAGGCAGGACAATCAAATGCAATATCTGCCGTGTGGAACTAGAGAATAAAAGGCATCTGATGCATCATGCGGAATCTGTGCACGGAACAGTCTCGCGAGTACCTCCCTAATACTCTTTTTGGTCCAATTGGACTCTGTTTTGTTTTCTATTTTGCTTTTTAGCCTGTTTGTTTAAGTGATACATATCGCAATGCACAAACTGGGCTGGTCTCTTGTATAATGGCGTATGCATGCTGACCGGCGGGCTTTTGCTATCTGAGAGTTTGTGATACTGTATTGTTCAACATTACGGAGGTCATCTGTCTTGCCTCTCTCTTTTTGTATATATCCATTAATTGCATACTATGAGTAACATGCGTTAGTCTGGACTAGTACACACTCTCCAATGCATACACCTTGTAGTGCTTGGAAGCTGGTCATTGGCCTGCTAATGGTGGCTGCAGACATACACTGCTGACTGGAAAAGACCCCTGTATGCTTGTCCTGCACATTTCTCTCTGCCTGCACGTAGTCTCTCTTGCATGTAGACTATGCGGGATTTATGATTTAAGACCTAGCACGAGTCCTTTGTAAAGATACTTGAGCAATCAAGCAGCCTCTGGAAGGGAATATAAGTCCATTCATACAGATCTCAATTTCTGTAAGTATAAACAGACTGCCCTTCTTGCCACATTTTGGTGCTGATTGATGCTGCCAGTTACAATTCTGGCTCCAGCCAAGATTTATATTATTTCAACAGCAATATCCGAGCCTCACAAATTTTATTGTCTTGATTCCACTCCTAGCATCTGCCTTTAATGTCCGAGATTGAAGTATTTGTTGCCGTGCATGATAGTTCAGATCTTAGTAGAGAGCGCCATGCCAGCATCTGGATTTCCAAAGACAATAGCTTCGATGGCTTCCATGTGACAAATAAATTTGGTTCTGATTTGACATTCCAATGCTTACGGCGTGGGCGTGATCCCCGGACTACAAATATGAGATTAGTAACCATGGAACGCTTTGCCACAATCTCTGAGGAAGGATATTCAAAACTACAGCGTATTCTAAGCATGGTACCTATTAAAAATAGCAACAATAATTGGAACTGTCAGGATTGGGTCAAAGACACTTTATCGAATGGAAAAGGAAGGTATTATCAACAAGACTGACTGGGACAGAGGGGTTCAAATGTTACTTGGTGCAATTTCACGTCCTTCTATGGAAAAGGCACAAGGCCCATAGTTTTATCCCCTTATCTTGTGGGAGGCTATTGCATACTTAGAACGGTATATCTCCTCTGCGCAATATTTTTTCACAGCTGACACTTAAGTCAACCAGATAACACTGATGATTGGTTTCTGCGCCACGAGATCAGGAGCTAGAGACAGTTATGTTATCCAGAAAACATAGCTACCTACTCCAAACAGCAAAGGTCAAATTACATGGTCGTATCTAATTTCTGCCAATCCGTCAAAGGACGGTTGTTGTAACTTGAGTTTACTGTTTCCATTGTCTCTACTTGAGACTGATTCCCATCAGCAGCAAGCTGCCTGTGGGGGTGTAAGTCTGTGCATGTTCACAGGAAGCACATATTTCTCCCATGTCCAGCTGCTGCAGTGGTTCATTTCCCATGTTTTGTCTATATCAGCATTGTCCAAGAGCAGGATTTAAAACATGTAACTACCAGGTCCTCCTTTGGCCAATTCAGAACTTGCAAAAAAATACTCCCCCTTACCACCTTTTACATGGAGAAAGAATGTTCTGGGAAGAAGATATTGTTGTGGAAATTGAATGGCTACTTCTAGGGCACAACAGTGACAGGTACAACTATTCTCACCCAATCATGCACAGATCTAACAATTATATTAGGTCTGTGGACTTTAGCCACAGAACCATCCAATGACAGGAATGTGGGTGGGCAAGCCTTTTACTTTTTTTACAGAGGGAGATTTAACAGCCAACATCCTCACACAGGAGGGCCAAAATTTCTGTAGTAAATAGTTGGAGGATTGACTGCAGGCTCAGTGGCAGTGGTCAATAGAATTGATGGATAAGACAGCTGCAATGTTGTAAGCACTCTTCTGACTGATTAGATCTCAATTTGAGGATTTTAGGTTTCATCTACATTCAGAGAAAGCTACTTTCACTGTGTAAGTACCAAAACATATTTATTATCTGCATGCTCTGCCAAGCCATAGGAGTTTCCAGACAGATGTTCTTGCATGAGCCGTTCCCCCATACACTGAGACATGGTATGAGAAATTTGCGCGGAAATTCATGGTAGAGGCCTAGCATTATTTCTTCTTAGCGCTCTCTTTGAGATCAACAGAAACATCAGCCTGAGTATTCCATACAATAAAAAACTCCTTCTGTACGGTCCTCTCTTGATGCTGAAGACTCTAGAACAAAGCTGAGAAGGAGACTACAGATTTTGTAAAGGCCTACTGTGAAGCAACAGGGATTTCTCATATTGACAGAATGTCTCTACTTGATGTTGTAGAACAGGTTGTGTTAGCTGCCTGGCGCATGATTCTGGTTGTGTAGACAGGAAAAGAGTCTGTGGATAGAGTTTTGAAAGAGAATTTCTTCTAATCTGTTTATTTTGATTGAGATACATGTATATTATTATTATTATTATTATTATTATTATTATTATTATTATTATTATTATTATTATTATTATTATTATTATTATTATTATTATTATTATTATTATTATTATTATTATTATTATTATTATTATTATTATTATTATTATTACTA